CCGAAGCTTATGCCTGGCGAGAACTATTAGCCCACCGGAAGCCAAAAGCACTGACAACATCAGGAGCGACGCGGGCCCCGATAGTTCTCAACCCGTGGATAAAAGTCTTCGGATTGTGTGCGAGAGGTAAGTTCTGGTGCAAGGAGTATGCGACCAGAAGTGTTCCAATTGTTGAGTAAGTCCGTTTTTGGATCGCGGTCGCACTAAGCCCACTGTTGTATGTAGCGACGACATAAACGACTTCAAATATAGCCCGTACAATGTAGTTTCATGAACGGCTCTGTTGCGCGGATGGCTTATTTTGGAAAGTGTGGTCTTTTGCGGGTGTCTGCGGTACAAATACCCAAAGCAGCAACAGGCGACACACATCCCCCTCGATACAGCCTTTCAATAGAAGCAGTTGGAAACCGTTTTCGGGGCTTTGTGTAAGCACTGTGCATACTCCCGTCCACTGCTGCGGTTTTGCGAGGTTCCTCGTGACGGCAATGCTTACGAAATTAATCGGAAGGTTTTGCCCCTTCTTCATTTCTAAAGGTTTGGTAGGTACTGAGGACTAAGTGTCGAGAGATACGTCACAGCGATCAAATCCCGTGACGACCACTTTGTCTGACCAAATGAGTGCATTGCATCATTTAACGCACTCATTCCTGCCGCAGGCTTATTGGGAGACGTCGCCCGATGGGCGTTCGGTGTTCCTGAAAGCGGCGCGCAGCATTTCGGCCGGAGAGGAGCTCTGCGACTCATACGGAAAGAAGGGCAACGACGAGCTGCTCATAAGCTATGGCTTCATCACCCGCGACAACGCGTACGAGTACGTGGCCCTGTTTGACACCGTGGAAGCTGCCATAGACTGGCTGTTCGAGGCGTTTCCATGTCGCTCCGGCCCGGGGGCCGAAGTGGTGTCAAGGCCGCCGGACTGTCGGGAGGAGGTGCTCGAAACGGTGCGGAAACGGTTGGAGGACGTACCGGTATCGCCCATCATCCAAGCGATGAAGGACGACCCGGCGACGGATTACTACGTGCACGACATCCCGCGCATGAGCTTGTTTGTGAACGGAACGGAAGACACGCGATTGACGGCGGCCTTTGAGGCTGCCTTTTCTCAAGCTTGCTTCCTTTGTGCCCGGGACACTCCCTCGGGGACCAGCGAAGTCGCTCAGAGTATCCAGAGTGCAGTAGACGAGGCAAAGGAGCTCGTTGCAAGGGCCTCGGGGATCGACGCATCAAGTCGGCTTGCGAGCCATACTGTCAACGGTAGGACTGATTTGGCGGTTAAGCTGCGTGTTTTGGAGCTTTTGAAACCTCTCGGCATTAGCTTTGGCGATGAGGCTACGAGTACGTGGCGGAGACCGACCCGCCGCGAGCTGGCTGGGTTGCCGTGGAAAGAGCAGGTACTCAAGGAATACAACGACAGCAAGATAAAGTTGCTGCTAGCAAGACTCGATTCAGTCAGCCTGTAACTCTCCTGAGGTTCCATTTTGTCTTGACTAACATCCTTCAAATTTGCTCAGACTCGCACTGCGAGTGGTGTTCCGAAGCCATTGATTTTCTTATGTGCACTGATACGTACCAAATGATGCCGACAAGATTCAGTGACTGCTTCGGAGTTATTAATCATCCAAGCTGCCAATCATGGCATATAAGTTGGCGGCTCATTCAATTGTGATTCCAGGCTTGCCTGCAAACATGCAAGCGCCTCGTCGAGCTAACGCAGCTCGGGAACCGGACAGGGCCTTCATAGCCTCATGAGTGTGCCAATACAAAAACATTGATTTAGTACATGCATATTACACTACACTGCCTGGCATGATGCTTGCTGCCGTGCGGTATACGCCAAACTGGCACGGCCGGTGCCGCGGAGCATGCGGAAATAACACATAGGGCCTCATGCATGGCCGCCATGGGTATTAAACTGCATGCAGCGCCGCGCTGACTTCCCGAGGGACATATGCCCCTAACTTGGCAATGAGGCCTTCGTTGTGTGCGCTAGCTCGCTCCGTGCGGCCGCCGTGCACAAAATGCAGTCAGTTATCTGCCAAACGTACTCCCCGCTTAGTACACAATTGCGTTTCAGACACCAGCTTAATGCGAAACTTACCCTATGTAAAGGCAATTAGTGACTCCTATTCACCTACAGCAAGGATCCATGTCCGGTTAAGAGGGCCGGGCCGGCATTACCTAGCTTGTGATTGTGTGTTTTCGGACTGCTGTCCAACTTATAGATCGGAGACTGACCTGGACTCTTTCCTGCCAGCCTACCCGCAAGCTTTCTATGTACAAACCATTGCTACCGGGTGGCCCTTCAATCTGCACAAGCCTCGTCTCCATCCTCTTCCCTCACTCATGTTTGCACATCGCACACTTCACTGTACATGTAAACCCTTGTCCTTTTGATATTATGTACAGCACAGTTGAAGGCACGCTCATTTGATAGACTAAGAGCAGCGTAAAAGGTGTTGACTTAGGTGGCGCATGGTAGACCCAATACGTTCCATACTCCAGACCCGCACCCGTCAGAACCCTTGCCGCACTTTTTTTCCTGAACCTAGCTCACAACCTAACGGAGATCGGCGTTAGGGAATGCGATCCCACTCCGGTAGATAAGTATACCGCCCGGGACGCCTCCCCGTGCCCGAAGAAGCACCGCCGCTCCCCAAAGTGGCACCCGGGGCCTATTCCCCGGTCGCTCTTGTCAAAGTACTGCAAGCAGAAGCTCTCCTCCTTGCTGGCGTGTGAGTACTCACAAAAGAGATCGGTACATCCCTCCGGGTCCTGTGCGTAAGCCGCGCACAACTTCACGGGTGCCCGGTTAGGTGATAGAACCGCCCGCATGCGCTCCTGGGGGATCCGGTAGACCGAGGTTTGGCGACCGATATGAGGAGCGCGCGCGTCGCGCGGGACGTCGCGTCCATTGGAGAAGTCGGAGAAGGCGGGGCGAGGTCTGGCTTCGGTGCCTGGTACAAAGAAGCACAAGGGCTCACTAAATGGTGGCGGCTTTGCTTGAAGCGCGCATGCGCCAAGCTCAATCGTTGTTTTCGCGCTCAACAGGGCCCTTTAGAATCCGCAAGGTCCAACTTCGCCATACATTGAAGTGTCAGCGCAGCCTCTAAAATTCCTGAACGACTATAACTTGACGTCCCCAAGTCGTCCGGACTGTCAACGAAACGCCAATAGCAGACCGCAACGTCTTCCTGAAGCAACCCTTGAGAAGTGCCCCCTGTGTCAAGCGCCTTGTCCAAAAACACCACTTTCTGTACTTGTATGTTACGAAGCCC